CCTCTTGACCAACATGACGTCTACATGACCTTGTGGTGGACAATTTATACACAGGTGCCCCATCTCCGCTTCAGACGTTGACCCTGGGACGTCAGGTGTGTTTCACAGCCTGCTGATTCCCCATTGTCCATGCAGGGTTTATAACAGAGGTAAAGTTAGGCAGAGAACGAGGGAGGATGGGCACTTGGGAGGTTGAGTACATTCACGACATTTTGTGGAGCAGCCTTTTTTTTTTCAGATTTTAGAAACCTTTTATTTATATTTGGTCTTACACATATTCATTTTAAAATTGACTCTGCTGTAAGAATGTAAAGCACAAAAATTTGCTAAATATCAGATCCACACAAATCCTCAAAAAGGTTTTCTGTGTAGTCTTCATTAATGCGAATCTCTGTGTGAATGTTTCACTCTTACCATAGATCTTGAATCTGTTTCACAATAATGAAGCCATCAAGTTTTTATGCAGTGCATTCATTATAAACTATAACATTTCTATTAAAAGGAAAGCTGGGTAATACAAAAATGAGAGAGGATCTGAGCAGCAGGCAATCTGGTGAGGCTCTGTGTAATCTCACCTGCTTTGTGGTTTTCTGTCACTGCGTTCAAAGAGCGCACAGCACACGAGGCAGAGTATTCACCTCCCTTGTTAACCTCCCTAATTTAAAAAACTGTTGTTCGTAAAACTGGACCGATTATCACAATCTATCATTTGCATAATTAACCACAAGACTATTACGAAGCATTCTGTTAGTGGTATCGACAATCGTAGGAGGATGGAAATTGATGAAAAATGGGTTTTGTTAAGCTTGGTGACTCCTCACATATCATGGGCTGTGCTGTAATATTTCAACTTTTAATTAGCGGTTTAATGCCTCACAGTAAAAGTCTGATCGATGGAAGAAAGCAAAACTGTTTTCTAGGTGCTGTAATATTTCATGTGACAAGGTAACAAAAGGATAGGACAGAATTTAAGCAAGATTTTATATACGCTCCAACTTTTCACTCAGAAATTCTTCTACACTGCCTGTGTTCCATTTGAGGATGCTGAGCTCCTCAGCAATGTTCCCATTGTCGTCCAAAAGCTTCAGCACAGGGTCTGAACCACGAACATACTTGATTTGTAGTCCTCTGAATAGTTTGGGTTTATCACTCCTGACAAAAGCTTGGACTTGAGGGAACCTCCCCAGTTTTCATCCACAGACTTCAAGAATAGCTCCTGCATACAGCTTTTTGGTTTCAAATTGTGCTTCTTCCTGACAGCATCCTCTACAGTCAGGATCCAGCTGAAGAAGGTTGAACTGTCCGAGAAGATCACAGGAACTGCAGAGCAAGTTGCTGGAGAAGCCTAACTCCCTGCAAGACTCTGATGAAAACTCTGCCCTGAACGTGGACACCTCTTGAAGCACGGTGGCCAGCAGCAGGCGCAGTGCGAACGCCGGTCCAAGCCACCCGCCCGGCCCCGACGCCATCGCTGCCGCCTCCCGTCGGTCTCGGGCTGCCCAGAGGACCCCTCTGCTAGGGGCGTCCACTCCAAGCCTGATCCAAAACAGGAGGCTAAAGGCTGTTGCCATCAAATCTCTAATTCTGCAGAGACTAAGGACATATGGAAGCGTCAAGGTGCCAAAATAGCTTCATATTTCATATAAACATAAAGTCATTGGGTCCTTTCGGACACTCGTATCAGGCATTTCCCTAAACTCCCCAAAGCTGTGCTTCTCCGGGCTCCTTCCTTTCATTCACGACATTCATGTTTTCATGGGGGCCTCTCCCAGTGGGGGCTGCAGGGAGGCCCAGTGGCCCATCAAGGCGTTCCTGAATTGCGCCAGGACAGGTATGCAGTTGGTGCCCTGGGAGCAGCCCAGGAAGCCTCTGAGTGCTCCCGGGTACAGTAGGGTGGTGGCCACGTCCTCGCCCAAAAGCAGCCCATCCTGGAGGCGGCCAGTTAGTCCCATCAGCCCCCTCCCGTCTCCACGCTGGCTTTTGGCAGCTCTTCCATGCGGTTTTATTAACACCAGTCTAGAGGCAACGCTGTAGTGGCTTAACCCAGAGTCAAATACTGCTGTTTTCAGCAAAATCAGGCAGCTGCCTTGACCACTGGAGGCACCGATTAGTCTACTAACAGCCAAAGGCCCACACCAGGAGGGGCTGGCAGGGGGCATGTACATTTGACATGAGGGAGTGGAAAGGGGCTGGGATGGGAGTGGCCAAGGGTCTTGAAGCCTGTGTGATTAGGGCTGGTGCCACTGCTCCTAGATCATCTAGTAGGAATCCAATTCCAGACGTGTGAATCAGTGGTGAACCTGGGGGATTAAAGGCAGAAGGGAGGTCCAGGCTGAATGTAGAGCACCAGGGAACAGGCAGAAGTTGATCAGAACTCCTCATTTTTAGATGCCCTTGTGTCTTAGGGAGGAGTTGGTTTTGAACCCAGCGTGTCTGTCCCCTTCCCTAAATAACAAGCATGCGCCATCTGAGTGAGACATCCGCCCCCCATCTCCCCACCTCTGTTTGCAGAGGCAGGGGTCCTTGGGGAAAGCCCTGAAGCTCTGCCCTTGTCAGCGCCTGCTTCCCCCTCTTCCTGGTGCCTGTTGTTTCTGACTTTGCTCTGACGAGGGCCTCCCTCTCAAGGTTCTGCATCTTGTCTCATTTTGTGTATAACCCCCTTCTCTCTGTGGGTCCCCACAGGAGTGTGAATAGACCATGAGGCCCATGGACAGCACCTGGAACACTGAGGGTGTGAACTGAGAGGGGTTGGGTGTGATGAACGAAATGGGGCTTCGTGGGTTTGACACAATGGGGTCCCTGAGGGCCCACCTCACAAGACAACTTTTCTAATCGCACAGCACAGGAAGGGTGGAGCAGAATGCAGCCTGTATCTCACATGTAAACTGCAAGCTGACCATACGACACCCACTTGTCCAATGACGAAGACACACAGAGGAGGGTCCAGGGAAACACAGAATGATGTGTCCTGGGCTCATTCTGGGGGAGCAGGAACAAGTTCTGAGTGGGTGAGGAGCACCGGGCCGGGAAAGGAAGGGCGGGAGGGAAGATGGGCTTGAAGGAGAGCAGCTCTTGTCTCAGAGGGAGGAGCTGCCCTTTGACTGGTGTCCAAGGGGTCCCATGGACAGGTCCCCTCCCCTCCCTGATGCACAAGCCACATAAGCCAAGAGAAGTGACACTCAGGGGTTCTCAAAGAAACAGGCCAGCCTAACTCAGCCCTTCCCTTTTTATGAAGACAGGGCCCCTCCACATGCAAATTCCCCTTCAAGCTCGAGGGTAAAGTCCACGCTTGGGCGGTGGGAGCTCACAGCTCTGTCCTCACACAGGGCTGAGGTTGCTGGGGAAGGCAGGGCTGTGGTCTAGAGGAAGATGAGACTGTTGGGTCTTCTTCTGTGCCTGGTGGCAGGTCCCCAAGGTGAGTGTCTCGGGTGTCAGACACGGGTCTGTGGGGATGGAAGTGGCTGCAGGTGACTCACAATGACTGATTCTCCTTGCCCCCAGGTGTCCTGTCCCAGGTGCAGCTGCAGGAGTCGGGCCCAGGCCTGGTGAAGCCCTCGCAGACGCTCTCCCTCACCTGCACTGTCTCTGGTGGCTCCATCACAACCAGCTATTATGCTTGGAGCTGGATCCGCCAGCCCCCAGGGAAGGGGCTGGAGTGGATGGGAGTCATAGCTTATGATGGCAGCACTTACTACAGCCCATCCCTCAAGAGCCGCACTTCCATCTCCAGGGACACGTCCAAGAACCAGTTCTCCCTGCAGCTGAGCTCTGTGACCCCTGAGGACACGGCCGTGTATTACTGTGCCAGAGACACAGTGAGGGGAAGTCAGGGTGCGCCCAGACACAAACCTCCCCGCCTGGGGAGCCCGGGACCCCCAGGGGGTGCTCAGAAGCCACCAAGGGCAGGGCTGAGCCCCAGAGCAGGTGCAGAGGGGCCGGGAGGGTTTTGTGGTTAGAATCCCTGCTTTCCTTTTCCTGCTCTTCAGCTCTACGAGATACCCCCTGCAGGACACTAATTTTTCATTGTTTTGACTCATTTGTTTCCAACAATAATTTTGTACTCAGGATATATTTTATTTTCTTCTCAAAAAGGTCCATAGGATGCTAGGTTTTAACATAAATTTCTAGGTGAGTTTGGATGTCTCAAAACTGTTGAATGTTCTGGGAAGGCCCAGGCAGTTGAACTACACGTGTAAACTGTTACACATCTTTGTCTTTGCTCCCAGGGCAGGAGGCTGCTTACCCTCCATCTTCCTGTCAAAGGGCACAAGGGTTTGAATTGTGCAGGATGCATGTTACAGACGCTAATGCCAGGGTGCCCAGGACTGCGTGTGCAGGGATCCTCATTACTCACGGGGTTCAGGGTCTAAGGATCACTTATGGGTAAAATTTATTTTCAGCCCTAAATGAAAACAGCTGTTGTATTTGCAAAACTGATGGACATTTGCAATGTGGGCAGCACTTTGAATCGTCCAACTCACTAACATTCCCCCACGAGGTCGGTCAGGGTGATGCTCTGCCTTCTTGTTTCAACTTCTATCATGTAAATGAGTCCCCTTTCAGGTCCAGTTAGTGCCATGCTTTTCCCTCTTTGTGGTAGAAGGAGACAGTTTGTCTGTTTAAGCTAGTTCATTTGTTGTCCTGAAGCACAGTCCAGCGTCCCTGAGCACAAAGTGCTGTGAGTGACATAGCAGAATTTATCTATGACAGACAAGCTCCATCCAGGTATGAGTTATACTGATCGGGGCAATGAGCTTGATAATAAAGCTTCAATATAAATTTCATTTAAATAAAGGAATACAAGTCTCATTTTGGTCTTTGCAGCAGCCTTGGATACCTGGTTCAATTGCAAATACAGATGGCAACATGGAGATTTATGCCCCAAAAGTGATGACGTTGACTGCGTGGAAAATGACTGTGAGGAGACTTCAAGGTCAGGGGGATTCTGGGCAGACTGTCTCCAGGGGACTCTTGATACAGGAGGCCAGGGTGGTCAGATGTTCCCTGAAGATCATAGGTTAGGGGAATTGGATCAAATATTGAAGGTGATCAGATTTCCAGGGTGAGGAGTCCCACTAACCTGACTCAACAGGTTTCCTGATAAAACTGGGACATGCAGAGATGGACACGGAATCCCGCAGGCCCAGACCTCGGGGAGAAAAGCATCTCAAGGAGCCTGAGTGATGAATGTTCAGAGGGTCATTGTCGCTTCCAGAGTCAGGGTTCTTATCTTCACTGACATGATTCTCTGAGAGCAGAAGGTTTAATCCAAAGGGACACGGACTCCTTCTGGTCATTCCTCCTCTTGGTGGTTCGTCTCAGCTGTGAGCACCTCCTGGGTCTGAGGAACACTGACCTCTGTGGATGGTGCTGTGAAGTGAGT